TAACGAAAATCGTTCCCTTAACCTCAATGCATTTTCATTTGTCGACAACAGTCTGCCGTTGGACATTTGTATTTATTTATTGCTACTTGTATTGCAAATGCAAATCGATAGCGAACATGTGAGTGAAATATCTGTATTAGAAACGTAAAATTTTCGTAAATAAATACTTAATTTTCATCGACGATAATCAATGTTGGCATTCAATTTAAAAACTGATTATTTTGCGTTATATAACGTTACTGAAAACATCCCTCCTAATACACACACACTAACTAATGCGCATGCGTAGAAATGTAGTAATAGACACGGCCTTATATTTCACTTTGGTTGCATTTTATTACGACTCCCTGGCTCACCAATTAAAATCTGCTTCCGACTCTCTTTTGTGAGTTAAAGCGACTTCAGATGTTTTTATTTCACATTCATATTTGAAATTAAATTAAAATTTCAAAATTACAACTATTCTATATTAACACAATATTCGATGCTTTTTTTCACGTTTCAATACCTGACCGATAAGGAAAAAAAATGAACAAGCATTCTGGACCTTAAGTCACTTATTTCTTGAAAGTAAATAAGTTCACTGAATGATCTCTTAGTCAGGAGGATGAAACAATGTTAATGGAAAAGACGTCAGTTGCTTCAAAAGGTAAGTTAATGTTAACAAATTTGAAAGGAGCACATAAAGTGTTTATATACAGACTAATGAAAGCTTATGATTCGGCAGTAGCCGTTAACACTGAACTGCATGAAACATTTAATAAAAAATAAAGTGAAAGCTCAAATATTTATAAAATATATTTTTAGTGTCTATAAAACTCGGCACACAACTGATTTGAAAAATGAAACTTTAAAGATTCATTGTACAGAGAAATATGGTTTATTACATCACTTCCGGCACATATAGGTCTACTGTGAAAAAAAAAGGTCATTACTGAATTGAAAAAAATGGTACTTTATGTACAGAGAAATGCGGTTTATTACGTCAGTTCCGGTCTAAAAAACAGCCATACATTGTCACTAAGGTTACTTTATTTTTGAAATTAAACTATTTGATTATCTTTCAAATAAACCTATCCACGAATTGGTACAGATTTCATCTACGTGCAAATGTTAAGAAGAAAGCCATAACGCTTAGAATACCAGTCCTTACCTGGGTTACAGTCTGTGAGCAGCGAACATATAGAAAGAAGAACTTTTGATATAGTCAGGGCAGGGCTCCAATTATCCTTCAAGATATCTAGACAAATAACGCCTTGACTGTTAATGTTACAGTGATAGATTCTTGTTCGAAAGGTTACCTGTGGCAAAGGGAAAGAACAGTTTTTCTTTAAGCATCATCCACTTAACTACAGCGAAATACAATTTTTATTAATAAAATATGTCACTGTCTGTTTTGACGGTACTGGGTTATTTCAAGGCATTTTTCACAAAACATATGCGAGAAAGAATAAAATCATCAATTATTTCCCCCATTCCTCCATTATCCCCTTCTATAGTTACCCCGAAGTGGATCCGTACCCGAAAAAAAAGAGAAGAAAAACACGTTAGTTTATCCCGTTGTGGAACCAGATCATGTGTATCAAATTTGGCGTCATTAGCTTTTGATGGTTATTTAAACACAGTTTTAAACATGGCGCCCTCGGGATCCCGAAGGGGGCCAGGAATGCAAAATTGTATTCTAGATTCGTGTTAAAAGATCTTGGAAACCTACTCTTAGACCCCACCATGATTGAGTTGGATCTGGGGAGCGTTCAGCCCCTTGGTGGTGGTGGTGGGGGCTATGCCATATAGATAAGGACATTCCCAGGCCATCCTGAGTCCTGTTTATTACAAAACAGTGGGAGGAGTTAGCTGGATATACATGCATAGCTACAAGCTGAATTATTACTTCGATGTAATGAAATACACGTTTCAAGGTTAACTGGAATTGATAATTCTTTAGCTATGATAAGGTAAACGTTAGTACTGTTAAATAATATCAATTCCCCAGTTCATTCTTATGAAAATCAGTCACACGACCTGAAACGCAAATGATTGATTAACAGCTTACGCTTCCAATTATCCTTTAGACGACGTGGCTTTATATCTGTTTAAATCTGTTTCTAGCCTTATTAACACTGAAATGGTATTGTTGCAGCTGTGAACATCTGATTCAGTCTCAGAGCAGGCACCCTATGACCAGAATCGACATATAACGGTTATTTGCTTGTTCTGAGGATGACAATCTGCCTTATCAAGAGGCTAGAGTAAATGCACTATTGATATGGAAACGGTCCCACGTTTTGCTAATAGCACTTTTAGACACTTCTGGACAGTTTGTAACAGTCTTCTACACGATTTATACCTATATATATTCTTTAAAGTACAGTCATGGTTCATGAACAAACTAAAACACTTTAAACTCTGCGACTCACTTCAAAAAGACAAATGGGACAAAACTGTTTGAGACCACTATATGTAGCGCAAGCTGACAAATTACACAGGCCTGCGAATTTAAACTTCATAAAAGTTGTTTTGGTTTTAATAACGGATTTTCCATAATTCAGCTAAGCAGATTTCGAAAATAATATTCATTTTTTTCTATCACGTAAAGATTTTTTACAAATCGGGAAGAAAAAAAAATCTTATTTAGATCAAATTATTATTTCGTTTACCGCAATGAAAAATTGTTATTATCATGTTTGTTAACAAAAATACAAACAAACTGAAGAAAAGAGAAGAACAATGATGTCAAACAAATATGCATCCTCATTCATCCCGATATTTGTTGTGAAAATCTATGTCTTTTAGTCTCAAACTACGTGTTGTGGTCTTTCTTTTATGTATTGCGTTATGAAGTTTCTGAAAAATCTGTACGTGATGGAGAAAAATAGACATCATTTTTGGATTCAGCGTACAGGAATTACTATAAAACACGTAAAAATTTCAATACGATAAAACCACTGCAAATCTGTGTTACTTGTATCTCAAAACACTTGGCTGATCATAAAATGTATAATAACTAAATAGGGTGGAGTGGTTGGCATTACTTTATAGCAGAAGTTTTGCTTAATCATAGTTGGAATATTATAAATTTTTATCATGCTTTACTTTTCTATAACTACACCAGAGGGAGTGCATTAGAAATATTGTGACTTACCTTCGGAGGCTTGAAAGGGTACTCTGGTGAAAAGTGAATATCCAGGAAGAACACACCTCCTCCATACACAGAGCCAGGAGGACCCAGTATAGTAGACACCCATTCGTACAAGTTATCTCCTTTAGGTCCAGCACTTAAGGGGGGGGGGGAATACTAATTAATAGAATCACTTTGTAACATTGAAAACTGTATTACTGACTTCGACAGAATATACGATTAACAGTCAGATTACCAATACATTTTGCCAGTAATCTTAAAGTTCTTGATGTAGAATAGCGATAATAAAACGTTCTAATAGCCTGCAGTATTAGACCACATCTTTCTTTCAGTTATCATAGAGTCGGTAGACTCTGTATGTAGGGATAGCCAACGTACTCAATAGGCATAATACAAACATACACGCTAAAAAATCAACAATGGCAGAGAGTTTTACTTCAAAAGATGATTGCCACTCACTTTCATAAGACAAAAATCCATCGCTAAAATACCAAAACAGAAAGTGACCAGCCCACCAAGTTGTTCATCTTTCTTCTTTTTGTTTCAGTCAAGGTAACTCTACAACTACTTTATCGCTAACGACAGTTTAAACCTAAGTCCACTCCATGTGTTTCTGGGCAGTTATCGATGCAAATGCTTAGTCGTAACAATTAGTTCTAATTAAAAAAAGTATATAATTCTAGTGTAAATGATGTTATCATTACCGCTTGAAGTTAGCTTTCTTACAGAAAGCTAATGTTCCTTTAAAAAGCTTAAGTACAGGGTGAAACAGGAATTACCACTCAATGCATTGTACACCATACAATCGGTGTCTTTAGGGAGCCAACCCCTGTATTACGTATTAAGTAAAGTAAAAAAATCAATACACATAATATTAAATTTTACACACATTCATAGAATACACTAACTTTCAGTCATGATGAAAAAAAAACGTCACAAAACAAGTAAAAAAAAAACATTTGCAAATGTAAAATGATGTAGGGATGGCAGTGCGAAAAAGAATGCAAACATGAATATAGGGATGACATAGCTACACATTTTCCATATGTTCTTTCCTTACTGTAGGTTCCTCAACATTAAGTCCCAAGAAGTCAAGATTTTGACCATTGGTGATTAATAATCTATTGTAACCAACTATGTAGTCTAATATCAATATCTAAGGTAATTCTACAAGTGTAATAAAGAAACTGACAAATCTGATATGATATTAACAATATATGTTACCGTTAAATTACTAAGATAAAACAAATGTTCACTTATCAACTTACTTCAATGAAATTGTTTAAAAAAAAAGAGGGGAAACAAGTAATAAAAGCTTTTTTTGCAAAAATTAAGTATGATGTAGGGATGGCAATGCCAAAAAGTACAGAAACAAGGTAGGGATGAATACACAAAACCATACAAAAGTATTATACGAGTGGCCAAATCTTTCCAAGAATAATTTTTATCTACAACTAAATGTTTAAATTCTGTCAGCTACATTAATTCAGGTTTGAATAAAAGCATATAAGCTGAATAATGCTATACAATCTTACAGTGGCTAATAGCTATAATAAGCTTGTAAGACTGACTCAGTACTTACTGGCTACTTATATAGGGATTTTTGGATGGTTTTGTGTATTCATCTCTACCTTGTTTCTGTATTTGTTGGCATTGCCATCCCAAGATCATACTTAATTTTTTCACATTTTTTATTACGTGTTAATTTTAAATTCTTAAACCTGTAGATTTATATGTTGTTTTTAGAAGTAAAACTATTACATTTTGACTCGTTAGTTTCAAATGTAATACGGTTTAATTTGATTTGTAGTCTTAAATAAAAACTCGGTTTACCAATAATGCTTGGAGACGGCTTGAATGGGTAATGAAGAAAAACTTTAATATAAGTTTAACATAACAGTAAATGTACAACGTTTCGACAGTCTTGTCCTTGTACCTGATGATGACAAAACCTTGTCGAAACGTTGTACATTTACTGTTATGTTAAACTTATATTAAAGT